CTTGTGCTTTTGTTGTCATATGTAAGAAACCATTGCCTAATCTGAGGTCGTGAAGATTTACGCTTATGTTTTCTTCTAAGAGTTTTATGGTTTAACTCCTGTGTTTAGGTCTTTGATCTGTTTTGAGTTAATTTTTGCCTGTGGTATGAGGTAGAGTTCCAACTTTATTCTTTGAATGTGAATATCCAGTAGTCCCAGCATGATTTGGTGAAAAGATGATTCTTTCCCCATTGAATTATCTTGGCACCCTTGTCAAAAATCAATTGATCATATATGTGTTTATTTCTGGACTCTCAATTTGTATTCTGTTGATCTATATGTCTATCCTTATGCCAGTACCGTATTGTCTTGATTACTGTAGCTTTGTACTAAGTTTTGAAATTGGGAAGTCCTCCAACTTTGTTCTTCTTTTCCAAAATTGTTTTGGCTAATCTGAGCCTCTTGAATTTCCACATGAATTTTAGAATCAGCTTGTCAGTTTCTGCAAAAAGGCAACTGGGATTTTGAATGGCATTCAACTGAAACTGTAGGTCAGTTTGGGGAATATTGCCATCTTAACAACGTTGAATCTTCTAATCTGTGAACATTGGGATGTTTTTTCAATTTTTTAGGCCTTTAATTTCTTTCAACAATATTTTGTAGTTTTCATGTACAAGTCTTACACATGCTTGGCTTAAATTTACTCCTAAGAATTTTATTCTTTTTGATGCTATTGTAAACAGAACTGTTTTCTCAATTTAATTTTCTGATTGTTCGTCGCAAGTGCATAGAAACACAACTGGTCTTTGTATACTGAACTTGTGTCTTACGATTCTGCTGAATTTACTAATTCTCCTAGTTTTAGTGGATAATTTTTTATACTTACAAGTCACCCTTAAAAGTATTTAGTTTTTTGTGATGAAGCTAAATAACACTTTAGTAATTTAGTACTTTAGTGCTGCCTTTCCCTCCCTCCATTCCTTTTTCCTCCCCTGACCTTCCCATATGCCCCCAAAGAGAGCTATAAATATATATATAAGAGGATTCTCTTTCCCTTGTTGGAATAGAAACCAATCAGTAAACTCTTAGATGGTTGAGAACATTTTATGTATTTTCAAAAGTGAGTAAATGTGAGGCTGATAGGTGGATGAAAGATGCTCAGTTTTTATTTTGCTGGAAATTAAAGAAATGTAAAATAAAACAAGTACAAGGATCCACCCATCTGTTTAAAAGAACAAAAATTAAAATGATAAAAGCCAACATTGGCAGAGTTATGAAGAGAGAGTCATGTCCATTTATTGCTAGTGACACTATAGGTTAGTTCAACCATTTGTATGTCAGGAACCATAAAAATGAACTTACCTAGTTCTATGCCAAAGATATGTCTCAAAAATTAAAAACTATTTGTATGAGTTCTTACTAGCTGTGATATAAGAGATTAAAAAAAGAAAGCATAAGCCTCAAATCCAACAATTGGGAGCTAGTGAAGCAAATTATTATATCAGTATAATGATAGACCATTATATTGCAACTAAACATCATTGGTGTGTGTACTCTACAGATTCAAGGAAGAGTAGATATGAAATAAGTGGGAAAAACCTTAAAATAATGAGAATATTGATAACAAAAAATAGGTTATGTAAGAAAAAAAGAAAATTTGTTAAGGTTATACAAATAGCTGATACTTCAGTGCAATTGTGGTTGAATGTATACTTGAAGAAAAAAATATTTTTCCACCAAACATGTAGACGTTTCTTACTTTGTAGTGGTTCACCCTTTTGGGTCTAAATACCTAATGAAAATTTTGACTTTGTGTTGATGGGCCACACAATATATAAACTCTCTTCTTTGTCTTCAAGAACCTGAAGGACAAGCTTGTCCTGAATTTTCACATATCATGCCCCTCATGTTAACAGCAGGTGCTATTAGAATCTCCCACAGGGCAGGAATCATAATCGCACAAGAGATTTGGAAACCAGGTTTCATCAAAGGGAGCCCAGGGCAGGGTGGCATGGCCTTGGAGGCCAACACTCAGTGGGGACAGCTAGAGAGCAAGAGAAGGCAGCCTTGGGTGCAGAAAGAGCCATAGAGAACTCCAGGAGGGACTGCACCCACCCTCTATAGTGCTTGGATCCCTACTTCACAGCTCTGAGAAAGGTCTTCTGCTGGGGCTTTCCTAGGGATGGGAACACGTTGTCTCCCAGAGCCGTCTGTTCCATTGGACAACTCCTTTTGATAAAGATTTTTCCTAATGTCTAGCCAAAGACCTGCCTCTCTCTACTTTCCACCTACTGATCCTATTTCCGACTCATCTTCGCCATCCCACAGGACGTCTTATCCATAGGACAGCTTTTAAAAGCAGTTTTTATACCTGCCAAGTTGCCAGTTCTCCAGTTTGAACCTTCTCAGTGCCTCTAGTCACCCCTCCTCAGGCTGGTGCTGAGCCCTGGCTACACCACAGTTTATTATCCCCTAAATAGTATACTGCCTGGAACAGAATACAATGCAGAACAAAACAAACGGTGCTGTCATTCTACCTGTGGTTCTCATCCTCGTGCAACCTAGAATTAGCTGATTTGGCATCTGTTATTAAATCATTGACTTCTGTCGAGCTTCATCAGCTAAAACTCATAAGTACTGTTATTTTTTTCTTTTCAACATGCATACAGTTGCCAAGCCACATTTGCCGGATCCTGCAGTTGTTTCTCAGACCTTGGATCTATAGATTTTAGCTTCTATTTGAGCAGTTTCTTAGCAATATTCTGCTGGGGGTAACTTCAGTTTTTATACACAATGTAAAGAAGCCTCTTTACAGTATTTGAAATAAATTGAGTGTCTGGGCCAAATAAGCAATGGAGTGGTTTCTTTTTTGTTGGGGAGGGGTAGGGGAATTTGTCAGTCCCTGTATCCTGTCCCTTCTCCCTCAGTAATATGCAGGATTCACCTGGAAGGCTCTATTCCTCAGATACTTTGGTATGTTGGAAAAGACTAGAAATTAGCTGTTGTTTGCGTAGATGATTACATTAGTTGATTCCTGGAATATTAGCACTAGAGAGATGCTGAGAGGTTTTTCAGTTTATTGCCCCTTACCCCTTGCTGCACATTTGGGGTAAATAGAATTGTTCCTTGTTACTAAGGAAACTGGCGATAGAGTCAGCCTCAGAACCCAGGCCTTCTGACATACATAGACACTGACCTATTAGCTTTGCTTGGATAGCAGCTTTCAATTGTTCATATTAAGATACTTTATAGATATTTTCCCCCTAGCACTCTTATGAGTTTAATTCCCCCCGAGCTAGATGACTTCTTTGAATCCTTCCAGCATGCGAGTAAATGATGCTCTCTTAGATATTTAGCAAAGTCATTCTGGTAGTGAAGCTGGGCAGCATCCTCTCTGGGACTTCCAGAGCCTTTACTGGCTTTCTGCCAGGCACTTTCCCTGTGGGATTATGTGGGTCCACTCTTCATTATGGTTGGTGGGGGAAAATGAGATACCCTGGATCACTTAGGGGCCAGAGTAGGGCCAGTTTCCAAAGAGTCCCCTGGGACTTGACCCATGGGAACCTTCAGCACAGAGCTATCCTCTGGCAGCTAGTGTTGGGGGTTGGGCAGGATTGTGATGACCCACAGAGATCCTGTCTCCTCACCAGGTATTGAGACAGCGCAGCAGATTCACGGTGGGCTTCAGCTGCATGCTGGGGGAGAGCCTGCTTATAGGCAGGCAGTTGTGCCCGTCTGCTAAGTGTCAGAAGGATTTTTATTGGTAATTTTTAAGGTACGTGTACTTTTCTTTCCTCACTTGATTGCAAATTCTTGGAGGGTAGGAAGTTGACTCTCTCTCGTTATAATATTCCCTCATTGCAAGTGGCAGTGCCTTTAGTAGATGTTTCCAGGTTCAGGCAGGGCAGCAGGATCTATGTTTACTGCTTTGCTGCTACCTGCCTGTAGCAGAGCAGGTTCCTTCATCGTTTTGGGGGTTGATTCTTCATTTGTAAAATGATCAGTTTGGAGTGACCTCTGAAGGCTCTTTTAGTAATAGTGTCTAGGGTTCTGGGGGCTTACAGAACTCCCAAAATGTATCCTTATCGTATGGCTCAGAGAAGTTGTTCTTCTCTTTTCTGTAGTAACATTACTGAGAAAGTCCACCCTGGAGACAATACCCTCACCAGCACACAACAGAAAGGGTTTCTTCTTTCACCATCTTTACAAAGTTGGCAAATCCATAAAAACAAAAAAGAAGAGTCTGGAGGGGAAGGATTGAAATGAGGGCCAGTGGTGAGCCCTCTCATGCTCCTGCTCTTCCTCTGAGCTGCTTGCAATTCTGGCTTATTGCAAGATAAGAGTCCTGGGGTCAGGGGAGGAGGGTCACTGGTGACCTCCAAAGAGAACAGGATGGGCCAGAGGTCATGGTAGAGAGAGAGAGAGGAAGTCATCTGTTGGCTCTGGAACCTGGTGGGGAATCTGAGCAGAATTGGATGATTTGGAGGGGATTTTTTGATTGCAACAAGGTCCTTTTTCTAATGCATGCAGGAGAAAAATAAGATGTGAGGACTAGCCCGGTTCTCATCCTCTGAGATCTTGACTCCTGGGGAAGATGGACATAGATACAATATAACTGTTGTTCCCAGTGTTCAAAGAAATCAGCTCAAAGGAGGGGATAGGTATTCCCAACCAAAGGAACAGGGAAGGCTTCCTGGAAGCACCTGTCTGCATCTTCCCCCACCCATCCCACGCAGTGCCTCACCTTTGCTCTGTCCAGGTGTGTGATGGTAAATTTAGAAATGTATGAGTGGGGCATTGAGAAGGTTGGGAGACAGACGCCAAGTGAGCTCAGCCCGCCCATGTGTACTTTGCACTTTTCCCATTTCCCTTGGTGTCAGCCACTGTCACTGTATTTAATTCATAGTGCAGTGGTCACTGAGCTGCTGTGACAATGGCTGCTTCTGCCCCAGAGCCCACCACAGGCTTGGAGCTAAAGGCCCCAGCTGCTGGAGGTCTTAGCAGTGACCCTGTCCCCCCAGCTACCATGTCCACGCAGAGACTTCGGAATGAGGACTACCACGACTACAGCTCCACGGATGTGAGCCCAGAGGAGAGCCCATCCGAAGGCCTAAACAACTTCTCGTCCCAGGGCTCCTACCAGCGGTTTGGAGAAAGTAACAGCACAACGTAAGTAGCTATTTCTTCTTCCCTCCTGGGTGTGACTCATGTTTTTACATTCTGTATTAGTAACATAGTCTCCCTTAGAGGTATTTTTGCTCCCCTATTTTATCAATTCCCCGTTTTATAGATGGAAGGAAGATATGAAGAGATTGGGTGAGTAACAGCTCTGAGATTTGAGTTCCTTGCTGGCCACTGTCCCTCCCATATGTTTTATATTCTTTGCTCCTTTCAGCTGTGTTGGTCCTGGAAGGCTGGTGCTGAACATAAGAGAAACTTCTAGAAAGAACATTCTCTTAATTCAGGACCGTGGCTCATCTGTGCTAGAACCTCAAATACTTCTAGGCTCAATTGGAAGCTTCATTTGCAGAGTCTTGCCTAGACTTCTGTCCCCATCACCAAACAGCCAGTTCATTTGGCTGAAGAAGTGGTAAGAGGGAGGAAGGAATAATTTCTCCTGCACTTAAAAAATTCAAGGTTGAGGGGCGCCTGGGTGGCTCAGTCGGTTAAGCATCAGACTTTTTTTTTTTAAAAGATTTTATTTATTTATTTGAGAGAGAGAGAATGAGAGACAGAGCACAAGAGGGAAGAGGGTCAGAGGGAGAAGCAGACTCCCTGCTGAGCAAGGAGCCCAACGCGGGACTCGATCCCGGGACTCCAGGATCATGACCTGAGCCGAAGGCAGTCGCTTAACCAACTGAGCCACCCAGGCGCCCAAGCATCAGACTCTTGATTTTGGCTCCAGGTCATGATCTCAGGGTTGTGAGATCGAGCCTCAAGATTTTCTCTTTCCCTCTCCCTCTGCCCCTCCCCTCCCCACTCTCTCTCTTTCTTCCCTCCCGCCCCAAAAAAATTTGAGGTTGCAAAGAAGAGGTCTGCCTAGCATTCCTATGGAGGGGTAAGTCTTATCTCTAGAAACTGAATCCCATTCATGACTCATCTGGGTGGAGTTTGGCCCTCTCTGGGCCTTAGTTTCCCCAAATGTAAGAGAAAATTGAGGGCCCCACTGTGAAGCTGTGCTGACTGCTAATCACCCACTTGAATTAGAAGATTCAGAGGGTTTTCTACCCCATTGATTTCTCTGACTGAATCCTGAATCTCAACAAACCCCTGATATTTTCTCTAGATCCCAGCATTCCATCTTTTTTGGCCTTTCTGTTTATTCTCCAAGTATAGCTATTATCCTTTCTGCGTTCCCTTGTGGGTTGGGTGTGACTTATCGAGGGATTCTTCATGTGCTAGACTTAACGCTTTCTTGTGTGACTGCCCAAGCCGACTATTGAAGCTTCTCTTGGAGGTCATTACTGGTGAAGCTCCCTCTGGCTGCAGTCTCCCTTGGAGCAGGGCATTTTCTCTTGTGAACTGGGATAGAACTAGAGGATATGGTCTGTCCACATTAGCACTAGCTGATTTCTGCTCCTAAAGATTCAGTCTCTATAGCTTATTTCTCATGTGGCATGCTTTTATAGATTCCCCCATTTGCTTGCAGTGTTGGCTGATGGGAAAGATTGCATAGAAAACAACTGGCAGCAGTGAGGACCATCTTTCCCCTGTTTTCCTAACCTGTCCACTCAGTTGGCTGCCCCCAGGCAGAAGGAGCTCCAGATGCAGCCAATGGCATGTGATAGCTTCCCTTCAGAGGTGAAATACTTCTGAGCTTCTGTCTCCATAGTTTCCTTCCAGTTTTTGCTCCTTCTTGTTCTCAGGCATCAGCTTGTCTGTGCAATGCTTGCCATATGGGGTCTAGATTTTCACTTTTAAAGGGACCTCTCTGAAGTTCAAAACCAACCACTAGCAACTTCAGGATGGTAGTTCACAGGTTTTGTATGTATTGAAAGTAATGTATGCCTGTTAGCTATTCTTTTTTCACATTGGGTTATAACTAGTAGTCAACCTAAAATTATTTCTCCTTGCTTGTTAGAAATTGAGAAAATCAGGAGATAACCTTCCTTGGGCTTTTATTGGCATGTTTTCCAGGGTATGATTTGTTGTGAGGGCCCATCCTGCCCTGATGTTGTGGTATACAGAACCAGGAAAACCCATCTGTAAATGAGATTAGGTATCGCAAGTGACCTGGGGAAAGTTCTCCCTTGGATTTGGAGGGTTGGTTGAGTACTTGCCTGGGGCCTGGATCCACGTAAGCATTTATGTGTAGAAAACGTGCCAGGTGTGCTTAAGGTGTAAGCTGATTCAGGTGACCATGTTAGCTCTCGTGAATTTCTGATATGTCAGAGTGTTAGAGATAAGTTTTTGAGCTGGATTTCTTGTCTACTGTGCCTTGCCCCACCCTGTTATCTAGTTTGCCAAGGAGCAAAGAACGCAGAACAAAGTATGAGGAACAAAATACAAGGAATAAAGTACATGCATGCACATAAACTGGCTCTTCTAAGGGTTAGGGATTCAGTGAAAATCCCTAATCGGGGTTGCAGATAGGAAGCCCAGACACTTCCCTAAAGGTGTGTTTAGTGAGGTTATTTCCTAACTTGATGTTGTCAAGCTATTGACTGCTTTGACAGCAGCCTCATTTTATTCTGTTGGGCAAGTTTTTCTTCTTCTTGCCCTATTGGGTCACATTATACCAGCTGTTGATCGAGCTTTGATACTTTCTCCCCAGGCTGGCAGGCTGAGAATCCAGTTGACTGAAACTGCTTTCTCTAGGTTATCTAGGGCAGCTGTTTGCAAAGTGTGGTCTTCAGACCCTTTGGGGTTTCTGAGACTATTGCAAGAAGGCTGTGAAATTGAAATTATTTTCATAATAGTGCTAAGATGTTATTTGTCTTTTCACTGTTGACGTTTACACGGATAGTTCAGCAGCAGTGGTGGGTAAAATTGCTGATACATTAGCATAAACCAGGGCAGTGCCACCAACTTATACTAGTCATTGTATTTTTTGTTGCCACACATGTACAAAGAATAAGCCAGTTTCACTTAAGCAGGTCCTTGATGAAGCAGTCAAATTACTCATTTTATTACTTAACCCTTCAGTACAGAGTTTGAAATAATCTGCGTGACCAAATGGGAAGTAGACATGAAATACTTCTACTGCCTACCAAATATGATACTTGTCTCAAGGACAAGACCTTGAGTGATTACTGGAATTGTGAACTGAACTAGCTGCTTTTTTAATTTTTTGTAGAGCACTATTTTTGCTAGGAAGAACTAATGAACTGTAGGTTATTCAGACCTGAGTATTTGGCAGTACTGAGTACTTCATTTCTTGAAAATGAAAGGAATGAGACCATCACCTCAAGAAAAAACAACCAATGGTATTTGTTGTCCACAGTAAAATTTCAGCTTTCAAGTAAAACTAGGAAAAAAACTAGTATCCAACACTGAGCTTGACAGCTTCCTTCTACTTAAAGACTTCTGATGAGATCAGTGATATTAATAAATGGGATTTTTTCAGATACTGTATAATGAAATATGCCAGCATTTGGAAGATCTGCATAATTCAGGGAACTAGTATCTTCCAAATGGCCAGTGTGATACTAGAAAATTGTGCCATGAGTAAAAGATCCATTTGAAGGACAAGATCACCAGTAGGTTTTAATGTGATAGGATCTTGAAAAGTTCAGACTCCCACATTATAACTAACTTCTAAGAAACAACCACATGTCGAATTTTGGTGTAGTATCAAAGGAAAATTACCACAATTGTCTGAAGAGGCTATTAAAACACATTCCAACTGCATGTCTGTATGAGGACAGACTTTCTTTATGTACTTCAACCAAAACAACATATCACAACAGATTGAATGAAGAAGTAGATAATCCAGCTATCAAGCAAAACATTAAAGAGGTTTGCAGAAAAAGTAAATTAATGCCATTTTTTATTTTGGAAAATAGAATTACTTTTCATTAAAAATCTGTTATTTTAAAAAATAATAACAATTTAAGGGGCACCTGGGTGGCTCAGTCGGTTAAGTGTCTGCCTTTGGCTTGGGTTGTGATCCCATGGTCCTGGGATCAAGCCCCGTGTCGGGACTCCCTGCTCAGCATTGAGCCTGCTGTCCCTCTACCCTTCCCCCCCTTGTGCTCTTGCACTTGCTGTCTCTCGCTCTCACGAATAAATGGATAAAAATCTTAAAAAAAATTATAACAGTTTAAAAAATCTGTTATATTTACATGTAATTTGTTATTTTAAGTAATTAATATTTTTTAATTTCTCAACTTTTACTTGTAATATATATCACCAGACATAATTCATATAAGCAAAAGCTATTTGGTATCCTCAATAATTTACTAGTATATAAAGGGCTCCAAGAAAAAAAAGTGTAAAAACTACTGATTTAGAACATAAACAGAACTATAGAGATTTGCAAGGTTCCCTCCCTATATCCCCCATAGTTAAGACTTTGCAGTCCATGGAGTTTATTTTGTGATACCCTGTGGTTTTGGGTGATCCAAGCTTGGGGCCATTGATTAAAAAGAAAAATGTTAGCCAGTTGCCTAGAATCCTGGTGTTTTAGAGCTGAAGAGATATTGGCAAGTATGCTGTCCTATCCAGTCCCCTCATTCTACAGCTGAGACAAAGGTCCAGACAAGGGAGGGGAATTGTCATATGGAGTTAACTGGCAGAGCCAGGGCTAAAAGGGATGTGATCTCCTACAAAACCCAGCTCAGAGGCATTTTGGGGAGGCCTCTGGTAGGCAGGTGAGTTTTACTACAGTGCTTACTTTTGCCTGGAGTGGATCAAACATTTGCTAAGATAGACATTTGTTTGGCCCATCGCCCTGCCCATAATCTATTGGTCCCTTGGCTGCTGATAATGAAGGAGTCACCCTGTACCCTTGGTCCTTAAGCTGTTTCCCCAGGATAGTCCAGGAGAGTGCCCAGCCTTTTCTCATTTAGATTCAAAGACATTTTCTTGATCTTTCCTGAAGAGCTTTGGGACAGTAGGAAGGTCAAGAGGTTTTCTTCCTGGAGGTAGGAGAAAGGTTACCAACAGTAAAATTCCATTTCAGAGAGTGTAGAGAGGTCATATTTATTATGGTCTTTATGAGTTAACACCTCTTATTTGCTTTCAGTTTCTACTGAATTGCAGATGTGAAGAAATGTATGGAAGCATCATTTAGGAGGGATTTAGGGTATTTGTGCAAAAGAATTTCCGGACAGTGCCAGGGGCCAAATCTTGAATGAGTCTGTGACTGGGGGCAAAGTGATGCTGTATTTGACCTGTTTTGTATCCTAGGGGTAACAGGATAGAAAATGCAGCAGATGAGGGTACTTCTCTGCTGTCAGTCCTTTGAGGAGTTCCCATTCTCTACAGATTGCTCACCGTCACCCCACCCAAGTGACCATAAAACTGACACACTCTTCTATGTTGGTGCCCCGAGTCTCTCTCTGGGCTTGTGTTCCCGGGCCTTTCTTCGCCATGGGCACACTGGCAAGCTCTGCCTATCCTGCTGGGCTCGGCTCAGGTCTCCCCTCTGTGAACCCTCACCTGCTTCCCCCTCCCCCTCCCTGAGCACTGTTCCTGGGCACTTCTTAAGAAGACATCTTTCTGTCTGCATGGTTATTAATGATTTTCATTGAGACATTATTAATTTCTAGAGACTGAGGTCCATATCTGATTCATACTTACTTCTACCACTGTATTAACACAATGTTTTACATATAACGGATAGTATTTGCTGAGTGACAAAATGAATGAGGATGCATGAAAGGCTTTATAATTACAGCTTGAGGTGGACAGTCTGTATAACAGGTGAGGGGAAAATCTGTCCTCAAAGCAGAAGGATAAATTAGGTGACATTTGAAGAGGGCTTCTCCAATCCTAGGACTCTGGCATTTGACTTTTTTAATTTTTTATTTATTTTTTAATTTTTTCAAATTTAATTTAATTTTATTATGTTATGTTAGTCACCATACATACATCATTAGTTTTTGATGTGGTGATCCATGATCCATTGTTTTTGTATAACACCCAGTGCTCCATGCAGTACGTGCCCTCCTTAATACCCATCACCGGACTTTTTTTAAACGCAAAGTACACCAGGGACTGGCTGATTGTGGTACCATATTCCTTTTGATCTCTTTACTTCGCATAACATTTTCTGTTATGGGTTCTGGGCTTCTATTTTTTATTTCCCTCATCCTTCTCTTACACCAGTGTCTGTACTTCACACTTACGCTTGTCATCCTCTGTTGCGGTTTTGGATCTGAGTCTTTACAGTGGACAGCTCTGGTGAAACGTAGGCCAGAGCCACTAGGAAAAGATAAAGTGCCTACAGAGAGCCCCGGTGTCCCTCTGGTCTAATCTGCAAGAGAGCTGGGGTTCTTGGAGATGCCACAGGGAACAGAGCTTACAGCACAGAGGCCAGGAGAGGACTCAGGGGTCAGACTGCCTGGGTTTGAATCCTGACTAAACTCTTTACTAGGTGTGTGACCTTGAGCAAGTGTCTTCCTCATCCATAAAATAAATACATATCTCATAGAGTTGTTGTGGAAATTGAATGAGATAATGCATGAAAGCACTTAGCACAGTGCTACATGATTAATAAATGTTAGCTATCATTATTGTTAACATGCCCTTGTGTACTTTCTTCCCACTTCAGATGGTTCCAGACTTTGATCCACCTGTTAAAAGGCAACATTGGCACAGGACTCCTGGGGCTGCCTCTGGCAGTGAAAAATGCTGGCATCTTGGTAAGTGTCTGCATTGGCAGAGGGAAGAATCATGACAAATTTTAGGAGATGGTGTGTGTTTTTTTAAAATCTATCTCATTTAAGGGCGCCTGGGTGGCTCAGTTGGTTAAGCGACTGCCTTCGGCTCAGGTCATGATCCTGGAGTCCCGGGATCGAGTCCCACATCGGGCTCCCTGCTCGGCGGGGAGTCTGCTTCTCCCTCTGACCCTCTTCCCTCTCGTGCTCTCTATCTCTCATTCTCTGTCTCTCTCAAATAAATAAATAAAATCTTAAAAAAAAAATCTATCTCATTTAAGACATTTAAAAATGGAGAGCTTTTTAATTCAGCTGAAGAAAGAGCAAAATTCAGGTGTTCATTCATTTAAACATATTTATTGAGGGCCTTCTGTGTGTTAGATGTTGTTCTAGGCTCTGAATATTATTGGTGAATAAAAAAGAGATTCTTGCCCTCCTGGCGCTTACTCTGTGGTGAGGAGGATGTACTTAAAATGTCTCAGAGAGTTTCTATCAATAATATAAACTAATGAATTAGTAACAGAAGTTTGTTAGTTTTCTACATAGTCCTTCCACACCCCACCCCTAGGAGGCCAACTCTGAGAATTTTACTTTTTCTTTTATGATTCATCCCCTATAGGCTATAATCTAAAGCCATTTGGTTTCTCTAGAGCTGGAGATAGCTCAGAGATGTGGATGGCCCTTAGCTAAGGGCCATTTTTCCCGATCTGGCATTGCTCTAATGAGAACTTTCCCCTTCCCTCCACCCCTTCACCTGTCTCTTCTTCCCAGACCACAGGAGCCTTCTGTTTGGCTGATTTATAGCTGTTTTGGAACAGCCTTATCTTGTGTCATTCTTTTCCACGAGGTTAACTCTTTCGAAGGCATGCTAAGGTTCAGATGGTGCCCTTCTCACCAAGCTGATCTCCATGATCACATTTCTCTCTGTAATGCTGTGCCAGAAGTTCTGTCACTGGAAGGTGTCTTAGTAACGTTTTGATCACTTCCGAATCCAGTCTCCATGGGCTCACTCCTAATTCTACCTGCTTGTCTCTCTCTTTCTTGTCCGCAACACCTGTCTCCAGATGGGTCCCCTCAGCCTGCTGGTGATAGGCCTTGTAGCTGTGCACTGCATGGGTATCCTGGTGAAATGCGCTCACCACTTCTGCCGCAGGTGAGAGCCCTCTAAGCTGCCAAATTGTCCTTTTGGGTTCTGTTACTAGCACTGAAAGAGAGGACTTAGGCAGACCACTCTAAATTCTTTGTGCTAGCTAAAGGTGACTGCTAATTATTGCAGCACTCCCTTTCCCTGGTTATTTTTGTGTTCTTTTTCAGTTTGTTGTCATCTGTCATATTTAGTTATGTCCAGAGGACAGAGACCACATTCTACTTCCATGTGCTTTGTAGTATTTACCCCGCTGAAATGATTCTACCAGGTGGCTGTTAATTATAAGAAAGTAGCTGGCCTGTCGACTTAACATTTTCTGGTCCTTGAAAGCATTAGATGCAGGACTCAATGGCTTCTCCAGGGTGACAGGTGGGGAACTGGCCCCGGTCTCAGTGAGCTACCTTTGTTCTGTCACTTATTGTCAAACCCACATACTCTGCCCTTCCTCTCCCCAACCCCAGACTGAACAAGCCCTTCGTGGACTATGGGGATACAGTGATGTATGGACTGGAATCCAGCCCCAGCTCCTGGCTCCGGAACCACGCACACTGGGGAAGGTAACCAGTTTTCTCTTTTGTTGCTGCCGTGAATTCCCAGAGTGGAGGCCTTCAGACAGGGAGGAGAGGTGTGGCAGATAGTATGAGCAGTGGAAAGAGCATTGGGTCTGTGGATTTGGCTTCTAACTCAGATCTGCCAGCAGTCATCTGGTGACCTTGGCTCTGTGACCCCTTTCTTCTCTGGTCATTGGTTTCCTCATTGGTAAACTGGCCGTTCCAGCTTTGGCAGTCTCTGACGAGTGATTGTTTTTTAATTCACTCATTTGTTAAGTAAAGATATTTAAGCACTCTCTTATAAGTGGTGCAGAACAATTCTGGGTATTGGGAGGAGGGCTCCTCCTGGGGTAAATTATGTGGTCCTGGCCCTATAGGGACTTGTAGTCTCTGTAAGGAGAAGGATGTGTGGGAAGCTTGAGGACAACAAATCAGGAATAGTCTGTACCAGTAGAGAGAGTATCATGAGCTAGCAGTGCATCCTAGAAGCTCAGACAGGGAGGAGATTTAAGGACTATTTCCTGTGCCAGATGAGAAGTGCACATGATAGGTGCTTTAAGGGAAGGACACTGGGCAGGAGAAGGAAGTCTTCAAGGAAGAGATGAGCTGAGCTAGAACCAATGGTTTATTGGGGAAAGACACATTTCAGGAGATGGGGGGTATTTGGAAATTTCTCCTTATGGTAACTTTTCATATGCCTAGAGGGAAATATCTAATTTTTGTTTCCTGTTTGAGTAAATGATATGTGTATAGATAGAGAATTGATATCATTAGGTGCAGATTCCTTTTTCTAGTCTTTTTTATTTTTTTTTAAGATTTATTTATTTATTTGAGAGAGAGGTGGAAAGAGAGTGCACTTGTGTGCATGAGGGTGGGCAGAAGGAGAGAGAGGATCTCAAGCAGACTCCCCACTGAGCACGGAGCCCGAGGTGGGGCTCCGTCTCAAGACCCTGAAATCATGACCTGAGCCGAAATCAAGAGTCAGATGCTAACCGACTGAGCCACCTAGGCGCCCCTCTATTCTTTTTAAATTTAAACCTACATCAAAGCTCTGTTCTCCAGGAAAACTTCTTGTGGTCATCGGGAGGCTTTTATAGTTCACACGTAGTCAGCTGCCTCCTGTGATGCAGGTTTATTTTGCGATTCTTTCAGCAGGGTCATTCTCTGTGACTGGGAGAAGCCATAGTGCCAAGGGGCCACCACTGGTTGGCTGATTGGCTGGTGATTGAGTCTTTCTTCCCTCCCTCCTTTCCATCATTTTTCTCTTCTCTCCTATCTTCCCCTCTGTTTTCTCTCTTTATGCCCAGCTCCCACCCCTCTTTCCCCATCCCTGCTCCTTCCTTCCTTATTCCCTTACTTTCTTTCTTTAATGAAGTTAATGTGTATTCATGGTAAAAAAAAAAATTGTTTTTGAGCAAAATGGGCATTCATAAAGTGAAAAATAAAAGTATATGCTGGTCACAGTCGCATGGGTATACTTCTAGAATTTTCTGTATGTATACAAACATACACATGTTCTTAACCTTTTTTTTACACAAATTGACCATACTGTGCACACTATTTGGAAATTTTTTTTTCTATTGAAGGTCATCCTAGACGTATCTCCGTCAGCACATATGGGTGTAACATATTCTTTCTCCCTGCTGTATATTGCTCCATTTAAGAATGGTCTGTCATTTCATCATTTTCCTTTCGATGACCCTTTAGGTTGTCACCAGCTGTTGTAACAGTGCTTCCACCAGCGGTCTGTTCTGGTACATCTGTTCCTGTGTATTTATGTGAGAGTAGGTTGGTTCTTGGATCCAAGTTATAGAAAGAGATGGTGAAGGGGTCTACTTCCTGGGCTTTATGCTGAGGGCTCCCTGTAGTTTTAGAACAAACAGTGTGAGATGGCATAGGCAGGCCGAAGGGAGGAGGACAGAGGGACTGGTCTGTGGTCCTGGTGTGTATGCTCCGCTCTGGCCATTCTGATCTTGGGACTGCATGACCCCTGCAGCGTTCCACACAAGACATAGGAAGGGGACCTCAGTCACCACACAGGACCTTCTTCACCTTCCTCCAAAGCTCCAGACTGGTGGCACCCAGCACAGTTTCTCCTCTTATCAGGGCACACTCATCCTTGTCACCTGGTGGGAAGGGTCTGTGATGACCTGGGAGAAAGCACTGTTCAAACACATATGTCCCTGGGAATCTTGCTTTTTACCCTCCTGATCTTTGTATTCTTCCCTTCCCCATCTGCAGGCACATTGTGGATTTCTTCCTGATCGTCACGCAGCTGGGATTCTGCTGTGTCTATTTTGTCTTTCTGGCTGACAACTTTAAACAGGTAGGGCCCTGGTTTAAAAAAAAAAATAATGGCAAGAGATGAGTGGACTTTTAGTTTAGGATTCCTTCTAAGGCAGCTTTGGTCAACAGAAGAATTAAGATTTTTAACATCTTACAAAGAATAGTGTCTTTTGCTTAATTTCATCTAAAGACTTAGGGCGTTGAGAAACTTCAAGATACCTTGTCTAGCCTCCTGTCATTAGGTAAGATATGATCAAACCCAGCTGAGACAGTTGGGCTACTGATGACAATTATGAAGATCTTGGAAGATTGTTCACTGGCTGCGGGCTTCTGTATGGCCTTGTTCACATACGGAGCCTTTAGTTAGGATCCCCTTCTGGTGGGAGGTACACTGGCCTTTGCCATTTGAGAGGCCCTTTCTGTCGCATTTCTTCCCCTCAATTTAGGTGATAGAAGCAGCCAATGGGACCACCAACAACTGCCACAACAATGAGACAGTGATTCTGACGCCCACCATGGACTCGCGACTCTACATGCTCAGCTTCCTGCCCTTCCTGGTGCTGCTGGTTTTTGTCAGGAACCTCCGAGCCCTGTCCCTTTTCTCTCTGTTGGCCAATATCACCATGCTGGTTAGCCTGGTTATGCTCTACCAGTTCATTGTCCAGGTAAGAGCGAAGGCTGTCCCTCTGCCTATTATATAATCAAAGAAGCAAACAAAACAAGTAAGTGGAACGTAAATAGGGATATGTTACTTATGTGTGGTATATTTATATTAGGGGTTCTCAACTTTGGCACTAGTGACATTTTGGGCCAGATAATTTTTTTGCCATTGGCGGGGGGGCTATCCTGTGCAATGTGGGATGTTTTGCAGCATCCCTGGTTTCTACCTACTAGGTGCTAGTAGCAGCCATGCCCCAAGTTATGACAACCAAAAATGTCCCCAGACATTGAAAAATGTGCTGGGGGGTGGGGGTGGTGGTATGTATGTGTATGCAAAATTATCCCCATTGAGATCACTGCTTTAGACTTTTTTCTGATTGGATAGTTAATGCATGAATCATTGTATAATGGGAAAATAGAAGAATATTAAGGTGAAAACAAAAATCAACTTCTCTAACTTAATATTTAGATAAAACAATTCCTTACCACTACAGTTATATATTTATTTGTCAAAATTATAAATCCAGTTATTGTCTCCCCCTCCTTACAGAGCCCATGTGGGCAGGTGTGTAGGTAGTACAAGAGAGGACATCTGTATGTTGATGGGTAGAAGACCAGGCTGAGAAAAATGTGCCCTCAAACACTGTGGCTCTTTATAGATGAGACAGTGCATTTTGCCAAGACTTGAGAAGAGGAAAAGGGTGAAACCCAGTGAATAAAAGCATAACTTTAAAAAAGATATTTAAATTTCATTCTCTAAAGAACTCATCAGTACCTATTCATTAAGATGCAGACAGCACAAATCTTGAAAACCACACGTCCACCCTGAGTCTCTTTCTCTGAGACTCACTGTATGTGATTGGTCTGTCTCTGTCTAGGTCTTATGAATGTATCTACACACTGTATTAGGATGTAGAGAAATATGTAAAACAAAAGTATGTCTTGTTTTGTTTTTAACATAGTTTTAAAATTATTAGATGTAGGGGCACCTGGGTGGCTCAGCCTTCGGCTCAGGTCATGATCCCAGGGTTCTGGGATTGAGCCCCACATCGGGCTCCCTGCTCGGCAGGAAGCCTGCTTCTCCCTCTCCTGCTCCCCCTGCTTGTGTTCCCTCTCTCGCTGTCTCCCTCTCTGTCAAATAAATAAATAAAATCTTTAAAAAAATTATTAGATGTAGTATTCATCTACCTTGCTTTTTTTTGCCCTTGACAATGCCTCAGGGAGCTTTCCATGTTGATACACATAGTTTTACCTCATTCTTTCTAATTGCTACATAGTATTTCAGAGAATAGATGCACCATAGTTTATTGAACCAGTCCCCATTCAGTGGAGTGTCAGGTCATTTATAATTTTTAGTGTTATTTTAGTATTAGGACAGTGAGTATTCTTAGGCCTTCCTTTTTGTAGACACGTATAAATACTTCTCCAAGGTATTTATGTAGAGGTATAGCTGCTAAAGAGTATGCACTTTTGAATTTTTATATTGCCATGTTGCTTTTTCCAAAAGCTACTTAACCAATTTCATATAGACTCCCTTCCGTAGTGCATTAAGTAGATGTATTATCAATCTTTTTAATTTTGGTCAGTCTGACAGGTGAACATTGACTCATTTTCATACGGTCTGCTTAACAGTGACCTGGTCACTCACTGATATGGTTTCTAGGAAAACAGTGCGTTGTAAAACAGCTCTTCCTGCACTGAGGATATGATATAATGAATTTAGATTAACATTTTACTCAGTGAGCATTTACTGGTTTTCCCCTGTCTTAGGAAGTCAGATGGGTGGCGGATAATTGACTTTTCTTCTGCAGAACTGGTTTTTAAAAATAAAATAAACTGCTGTCCGTGACCTGTTTTTTATGGGAATGGAAGGAGGTCCTGTGAACGCATGATTGACCATTTCCAGAGAGTTTCCTTCTCTACCTCTGGCAAATTAAGTTAAAACAAGGAAGGGTAAATAAATGCATGATTTAACTTTGTAATTAGAGATCTCAATCAGTGCCTGGGACACACCGCAGTGGACATTAAAGTGAATGAGGCAAGCGCATATGGACGCGCACAGGTGCTGCATTTAGTTTGAAAGCACGGCAGGTCGTTGGACTATGGTGGTTGCTGTGAACACAGGGCTGGGATGGGAATGTGGGTTCCGACGGTGTCTCAGTCCCAGGTGAAGACAGTGTCCATTCAGAGCATTGTCTGTGCGTCGTGCCACTGGCACGTGCGGATGAGGCAGCCCTGCTGATTTCTTGGGAGCGAGTATGAGCCTGCCTCTGGGCTCAGCCAGGAGCCATGTGTAAGATCACACAGTGCTCTCTGCTCTGGGGGAGCTGGGGAGGATGGTGGTTTGGCTGTGTGTTGAGTAGCTTCATTTTGATGTATGTAGGTGTGTAGGTATGTAAGATGCTCCCTTTGGGTCACTTTTGTTGCTGATGCTGTTGTTACTGCTGTCTTGTCTTGGCATCTTCTCCCGCTCTCCGGTGTTTCTGAATTTTTTCCCAGTCCTGAGCATGTGTGTGACTGGTGCTGTTGCTCCTCATGCACACGCCAGCCCAGGAAGCTGACTGAGGCCCTCCACCTGTGCAGGTTTCCCCTTAGCTTCATCACCTGGACTGACAGATGGCACCCAGAGGGGGCTCCCAATAAATGTATTTATCACTGCATTTCCTTAATTCTGAGATGCAGTTTTTTCACAGGTATAATGTTTCCAAAATTGAGTACATCTTGCAATCCTTATGTACATTTAACAGCATTTTCTCAAAAAGTTGTTATCACTGAAATTGTTAGTATCATAGAATTGAGGAGACAATATGTTGATAATGAGCTGATTTTAATGTGTTTCTTTGCACATTAAACTTTTTTCATTTAATGGGTTGGGCTCTAAGTCAGTAGCAATCATTAAGTAAGTAGAATTATAAATGCCTTCTGCTGGTCTCATTCACACCAGTATCCCCAGACATGTATTCTGAAATTCCCTCTCTGATACTTCAGCCAGATATGATGTATGAACCGGGGCAATAGTCATCCACTAACCAACAGATTGCTCCTGTTTCCAAGAACTTAAGTTGCACTGTGATTCAGGAATAATTACAGGGCAATTTCACTCTTTGTCTCATTGTAGAGCAAAAATATTTCTTAGTCTGTCTTCATTCCAGATACTGAAATATTTCTTTTTCTTTTCTTTTTTTTAAAGATTTTATTTATTTATCTAACACAGAGAAAGAGAGAGAGAGAACACAAGCAGGGGAAGCGGCAGGCAGAGGGAGAGGGAGAAGAAGGCTCCCCTCTGAGCAGGGAGCCCGATGTGGGACTCGATTCCAGGACCCTGGGATCATGACCTAAGCTGAAGGCAGATGCTTAACTGACTGAGCCACCCATGCGCCCCTGAAATATTTCTTATAAAGAGATCTTTATAGGCAGGGGCTCAGGAAAAAAAAAAAGGATTTTTTAAAAATTATTTGTATTTTAGGGAGACTATAGTATAATTGCTTTGAAAACTTTCAAAGAAAAGCCTATTACAGAGATTAATATTAGATCTTTTGTTCACTGATATTATTCTGTTATACTGTTAGAGTGTTACCCATATTTATCTAAATACCTCTATAGTTAAATCAATTTTAAAACATTGTAAAGGCAGTTTTAAAATCAATTCTTATTTTAACTTAAGCTGTGTATGCACATGGTTGATAAAGCCACATTCTGAAAGGACAGAAGCTTCTTTCCCATGCTGAGTCCTGTTCCTTTGATGCTATCCATTACTGGGGGCTATTGTTCAGTGGTGAGCCAGGGAGAATTCTGTGTCTGCACCTCCTGCTTGTACATCTTTACATTGTACCTGCAGTTAACAATTGCCTTGGTTTTTATTTGCCTCTATTTTTAAATGCTTTTTTTTTTCTATTTTGTCCCTAAATGTTCCAGTACTCCTGTTATGTGTTTATCAATAAAATTTTTCAAGTGTCCACTCATTCACAAGAATTAAGAGAAGGAAGGAAGGAAGGAAGGAAGGAAGGAAGGAAGGAAAGAGGAAGGAAGGAAAGAAGGAAGAAAAGCAGAGAAAAAAAAGAAAAGAGCTCTTTTAAAAATCTTCCACCTTTCCTTCCAGCTTTATCTGTGTGGAGTGTTTATGTAGTTGTATTATAGTGAATATGTAAATTTAAAAAGTTAATGTTCTAGTATTTCATAAGCAGTTTTTCATTTGCTACTTAGTTATCTCAATTTTTACTTTTAAAATAGTGCATAATATTCTGTGGTATGGTTGATGTTCAGTAAGCTAACTTGTTTCACTTGTTTGGGAATATTTAGGTTGTTTTTAATTACTGTTAAATAACTTTGCTCTAATTTTTTTATATTTTGATTTTTTTTCCTACTCGGATTAAATTTCTGGGGATGGGATTACCTAATAAAAGAATGTAACTATTTTTATGTAAGCTTCAACATTTGAGTTTTTTATAGTACACTGGGCTATAGTCTTTCCCCATCCCAGGTAGGGTTTTCTCAGACTGAAGGGAAAAAAATACAAAAGCTAAATGTCCCCCAGATCATCTGTCAGATGTCAGACATTCTCCCTTCACAGGATCTTGGATTTAGGAAGAGATGTGACCTCTCTGATGTTGGTGTTCAAATCTCGAATCTCTGTATAAACTTTACTTTGTTTTATTTTCTCTTTCAGAATATCCCAGACCCCAGCCGCCTCCCCTTGGTGGCGCCCTGGAAGACCTACCCTCTGTTCTTTGGCACAGCCATTTTTGCATTTGAAGGCATTGGGATGGTAAGAGTTGCACTGTGATGATCTGTTGTCCTTGGTGTCCTTTAAGGCTTGATGGAAGGCTGAGGAAATGCTATTAGAAATTATCTTCTGAAACTTATTGGCCAGTTAACGGACAGCATTTCAGGGATTCCACTGGAGTTTCCCAGCTCTAGCTTTTGAAAATAAATTGTATGTGATTTAAGAACGCTTACATTCAAACCCCCTGTGTTGCACAGTCATCCCCTATGTGCGCAGTAAGCAGTAATACGTGGCAATTGGGAATCCAGGGCCTAGAGTCAGACTGACTTGGGGTGAGTCCTGGCTCTGCCAAGGAGTAGCTGTGTGACCTTTGTAAGGATGTAACTTCTCTGAGCCTTCATTGTTTGCTTCTGAAAAGTGAACTTAATCATTAGTATTTGTTAGGATTAAATAAGATATGTGTGAAGTGCTTCACATAGTCCCTGACACATAGTGAGCATTAAATGATTTTTATTTTTATTAATAATACTATTGACTTTGTTATTAAGTCAGTAAACACGCAAATTATCTCTCTGTCCTGGAACATTGATGTACCATATTTTTTTGTGTGTAGCTAAATAGCCTTAGCCTTCATTCCTGGGTTAGCTTCCCCCATCATTGCTGTGATTTCACCCAATTATTCTCCTTAAGGAGAGGAATCTGCCACTCAGTTGTACCTAATTTGATTTTTATTTATATTTTTCATAGTAAAGGTCCAGAATTCTTCTTTGAAGAAAATTATTAGTTCTGCTGGCCAAGAGCTTAGGAAAAGAGAAGACACTTTTCCTTTCATGGAATATCTTTTTATCCTCTTTTGATTTCTCAATCACTTTATATACTTTTAAGAAAACCTAGAAGCTGGAGAGTTTTTTTTTTTTTTTTTTTTTTTTTTTGTCAAAATACTAAGAAATTGCCCTGGTGGTATTGATGGAATGGGTTAAGTCTCTAACATCATAGTGGAGGCTTTCTAAGTGATCAGTGTGTAAGTTGTTGTCCTGAGTTTTAACACCTTTTGCTTTGCTCTTTCTTTGGGCTTCTCAGTGCCCAGGAAGAATGGCTCCCCTTGATTCACAAACACAATGTTTCCCTGCTGCTGGGGTTAAGGTCTGAAATGGCCCATATTGCAGCAGTGAGGAAGAGGCCCCACGTATGTGGGACTGGAAAGAAAAGATTGAGTTAAGTGTGGAAAGCTGCCTGGAGACCCTGGGTTCTTAAGGAGCATTGTACTGAATAGATCATTTTTCCCTAACAGCGCAGTGTAGAAGTTGCTCTTTGCATCATTTCATCAGCCAAGGCTTGGAAATGGAGTCATTCTATAATCATCATTATCTGTTACTTTAAGATTTCTCTGTTTTCTATTTTTATAAGGGGGGAAAACACTGCTGTTTTGACTCTTAGTTTGGACTTGAGGGCTATTGGGTGTGACTGGGTGAAGGGCCCCTGTTCGCTGTTTGTTCATTGTGCTCTTGCTCTCTCTGTGTTTGTGCCACTGGCCCAGGCCTGGCAGACATGGAGGAGATGGGCTGCCTGCCCTCTGGCTTTCTAGACTCTCCATAAAAGGTAATGGAAGGAAAGCTTACAAACTGTTTCTAATTGGATGTGTATCAGCTGCAGCTTGAGTCCCCTGAGCTGGGGAGGGGGTGCAGTGCTGAGGCCTGGTGGGAAGTGCGGAGCTGTGGCGCCCCTCACAGCACCAGGCCTGTAGCAAGCCCGCGGCGTCTGGCACAGACCCACTCTGCCTCATGGCCGCAAGTGTTTGAGGAAAAGGAATGTCATGACAAGATCAAAGACGGTTTGTGGGCAGCTAGACATTGCCTTGCGTTGCTTTTCCTTGTCAGCCATGCCAGATGCAGTTGATAGCAGGTTGTGAAGCCTGTCAGTCACAGCTTCTGTTTTCCCTGTTCCTAGAGGAACCAGTCTTCAAAGGGACCTTTGCTTTGCTTTGGAATGTCCTCTGCTGTGAGGGAAAGGGCAGCAAGGTCAGTGGTTTGGAATAGGAATCTGGAAAGTGGGTTTTGTTTTACATTTTGTGAGCCTGAATCGCTCCATCCTCTAACTTGTGATACCCTCAGCACCCCCGTTTCTCTAAGTCAGAGGTTTAACATGTCACTGCTGGCACCTGCCCTCTTGGAGGTAAGGAAACAGTTTCTGGGAACTAGAGTGGCAGTTTTCCCTGACCTACATTTTGCATTCTTTGGACAGGTTAGCAGAGCTGTGATCTCAGATGAGTTCTGTTCTCCATTGTGCCGGGTGGGCATGAAGCAGCTGCCTCGTGGCTGTGCCAAGGGACAGAGAGCACCCCCAGCCCATGGGGACCCTGGAGCCAGGAGTTGAGAGTGCTGGCCTGGGCAGGAGTCCTGGGGCCAGTCCTGCCTGCCCTCGCCCTCAGGACTTTCCCCGCTTCCACATGGGAAGCAGGGTATCTCCTCCAACTCTGAGGAAATAACTTGCCTTTGTTTATCTGTCTGGTAAAGGATAGATGTGCTTTTGGGGAATCCTGGAGATAAAGTGGTTACTTTTTCTGAGAAGATTACAATTTATTTTGGCCATTAATGTTACTTTTTCCTGTTTTCTCTTCTCTCTCACTACTCTCATAGGTTCTGCCCCTTGAAAACAAGATGAAGGATCCCCAGAAATTTCCGATCATCCTGTATGTGGGAATGGCCATCATCACTGCCCTCTACATCAGTCTGGGGTGTCTGGGGTACCTGCAGTTTGGAGCTAATATCCAAGGGAGCATAACCCTCAACCTGCCCAATTGCTGGTATGTGGGGGAGGATAGAAGCCTGGGAACACTGGATGTTGTTATTTTTTTTTAATTAATGGGTCAGAATGTGGATTTCCCTCCTACTTATACCTTTAATCAGCTCACTTCACTTTAGCCCACTGCTTCCACCCTCACCCCCAGGCCAGCACCATCCCTCCTTGGCTGTGCACTGAGCCTTTGGACCCATCCACCTATCTCAGTCTTACTCCTTCTCCAGACCTGTTCTCTATTACCTGTATGAGCCATCTCAGACTCAAATCAGTTGTGCATCTCCTTGTTGAGAGCCCTGAGGAGCTTCCCTTTGCTCCTCTGATTGAGGCGAACCCTTTAAGGTGCCTGTTAGTCCCACTCCGGTTCTAGCCCTACCTGCACCTCATTCCTACTCGGCCAGGAAGACAGTCTAGGAGTCACTCTTTTTGAGAAACTGTCTCCACTGTCTTACCCTCAACTTCCCCTCTAGGTCAGATGCCCCTTTCTTCTGCTCTGTGGGATCCCATTTGGACCCTAGCCTAAATCTTATTCCATAGTGCTGTAATTGTCCGTTTACCCGAACTGTGATCTCCCTACATGATCAGCTCTGGGAGGGCAGGGCTCCATTGCACCCCAGCACCCGTCACAGTGCCTGGCACATGATCATCACCCAGGGGATCACTTTTGAATCAAAAGGAGGACTAAATGTGGGGACTGAGCATTTTATGAATGAGGAGATGTTCTCAGGAAGCAACTGGTGCTTATAGGATAGAGGTGGTCTGCCATGTCCAGCTCTGTGGACTTGGGCATGTCACAGCTGCTCACTGCCTCCGCTCCCCCTTCTGGGAACCAGGAATAGTCATTTCTTTCTGCCAGGGTTGTCATGAAGACCAAATGCTATGCATGAGAAAGCACTTTGTAATACTATTCTGATGCTATCAGAAGAGGACACTGCCCTGAGCTTTCTACTTTGGAAGAGGAATTCCTATGGAGGTGTACGCCAAATGGATTGGTTATCAGGTGACTGAAATACCATTCCTCCCTAGAAATCTGAGCCTGGAAGGGCCAAGTATCCCATCAGTTCACTTAAACATTCCAAATAGACAGGGAGAGAGGAGGGAGAATTGGCTAGGTTCCCAGGTTCTGCTGTTCCTCTCCCATGGCAGTTACTGGCTTGCTGTGCAGGTAGAGGCCTGTCACCATGGACGACGGCTTGTGGGGAGCACTTCTGTATCTCACTTTGTTTAGCTCTTGGTTACTGTATTGCAGGGCAACACTAAGACATACTGAAATGCTAACTAAAAAGGTAGCTGTCGGGGCACCTGGGTGGCTCAGTCGGTGAAACATCTGCCTTTAGCTCAGGTCATGATCTCAGCATCCCAGGATTGAGCTCTGTGACGGGCTCCCTGCTAAGCAGAGAGTCTGCTTCTCCCTTTCCCTCTGCCCCTCCCTACCACTCATATGCGCTTGCTCTCTCTCTCTCAAATAAATAAATAAGTAAATAAATAAATAAACCTTTAAAAAAGATAAAAAGGTAGCTGTCACAGGGTGTGTCTGAAGCAACAGTTCTCTTTTGAAGATTAGAATTTCATTGTGGAGGGCAGCTGAGCAGACACTGAGAAGCTTGTTGAGTGCCCTGGGGATCAAAAGGACCTTTCAGGCTGGCCTGGTTGACCTGCCTGTGCATGTTTTTAGAGCTCCGATCAGTGAGGCATTGTGCAAGGACAGGTGGAGAAAATTGGGAAAAACATTTATTCAGCTTGCCGTTGGTGTTTAGCACAGAACACCCTAACCAGTAGGGGTCTGGGGACAAGATCTGTGGGGTGGCCAGCCAAGTGGTAGCCTTGCAATGGGCTAGTGTTTTCAGAAAGTCTTTCTCTTTCACTCTGATGCCTGCTTTTAAATTTCCAAATGTTCCTGTCCTTCCAAGAGCCAGGTGGTAGCTTGGCATAACTGGGGATAAATGGATCAGCAGGAACAGAAGCAGCCCACATAATCTGAAGCTATAGATAAGCACCTGTCTTCTTTCCTCTGATACTCCAAACCCAGCTACTCGAATCTTTCTGCCTCCATTCGGGTACAATTTATTTAGCCATCCCTGCAGGTGACTATCCTGCTTCCAGACTTCCTGGCACTCCAGAAGGCTTTGGTGTTGTACTGAGTTTAATTATAGAACCACCAGCTGATTTTTCCAAAGCCTTTTTATTATCTATTCTTGGAGCAAGTAAGACCTTTTGTCAAACTCAGTCTCTCCCAGGGTGTTCTCCTGTTTATAGCGTAAGAACATCTTCTGGGTATTAAGTTCAACCACAGAGAAAGTCAATGCACATTATACACAGTATAGTTACCACTTTTAAATAGATTTCCAACGAGGTGGGGGAGGCCCGTGTTTCTTGCTGCCTAATGCAATGAGGGTCCTGTTTGAAGTGGAGCTTTGCTAAGGAGCAGGGTGGCCTTCCCTTTTAATGATCATGTCAGATCCATGAGTACTTATGGATCAGACTTGTTTTCTACTCTGCACAGTCCTAGGCATGAGGTAAGATAGAGATATCAGATGGTGACGTAATGGTCTCCCTGAGAAGCCACATGTGAAGCCGTGGTAGGGAGACAGCCACAGTGGAGTGGAAAGATGGGTTTTGCTCCTGCTTCTTGGCTGTGTAGTCGCCATCTGATTCTAGGGAGCACTGAATTGGAGGAGAGGGTATAAAAAGGCCTGTTATATTTTAATTGTTTTAATTTTTGAAAGGATACAGGTCCCTGGTAAAGATTGCAGATGTTCAAAGTCTATACAGTATATGTTTGTTTCCATTTGCCTCCCCCAAGTCCCCAGTGTTTCAGTTGCCCATTTCAGAGGCAATATCTTATATTTCCTTTTGGAGATGTTTAGAATATGTAAGAATGTCATATGTATGTGTGTGTGAGGGGGAGTGTTTTCCCCTTCTTTTTTCTTTTTTTGGACAATTTATAGCACACTGTAGACACTGTTTCTTCACCCGTTTTTCACTTAATAGTATATCACAAAGCTAGTTCCATATCAGCACCTATAGTTATGCCTCACACTTTTTTTTTTTTCATTTTAAACAAGAAGTTTATTTAAACAACAAGATGCTTGACTTGAAGGGAAAACTATCTAGGATTCATTTCTTTTAGAGTAATTTATCCCCACTTAAAGACAGATTGCCCTACATGTAACAGCTACGTACAAAAAAGTTATAAAATTGTCCTTGGTTTTACAATGATAAATGAAAAACATTAAAATTCTCCAATTGAACAAGGTATGCAAGGATTTTTATGTTGTTCTTTTTTTGTTAAACAGTGAGAGCAAAATAACTTACTGGAATATAAAGATAAGAGCTGACTGAGCATGCCACTAATGGAGAGAGGGGGTATTTTCACAGAAGCAGTATTTTCCCCCATCCCATCTCCATTTGATGTCGATCAAAACATACCATTGGCCATTTAGTTTAAAAAAAAAGCAATATGCTTGTGTACGTACAGTTACTTTACGTACATACAGTTACTTTACATACAGTAAAGGAATGGGGAAGGGGAAAATGAAAGAATAGAGAAAACTATACTGTAGTAGTCAGGATATGGTGGAACCAAATTGCGGCTTTCTAATTGAGAATGTCTTCTTGGTCTGGAGGGACAGAGTTCTGCAGTAAAGTCGCAGGTTCCCTTTTTAGTAGATACCTCCTGTCTGCTGCTGGAACACATCAGTTGTATCTTCATCCTCCGTTTCCAGCTGTGCAGGTGTGTCTGTTTCATTGATTGGCTGCCCATCAAATGGGAATCTGATCTGCCTCATTGACAAACCCTGTCGTTGACAATAGGCTTTCATTAGTTTACTAAGTGGTGTGTGCCTCTTAATCTTAAACTACACCACAGAACCATCCTGCCCCGCCACCTTCGAATTAATATGATCATTGTTCTCAGTTTTGACTACTTCCTTGGGCTTTTCGTCGGCCACGGCAAGCGCCAGAGTCTCCTCAGCTCCTGCTTCACGAAAGAGGTACCAGGTCCGTACGGAACGAGCACACAAGCAGTCCCGGGAGCGGGAGCGGCAGTGGCAGAAGAAAGAGGCGGCCGCAGTGGAGGAGGGAGAGGGCGCGCCCCGCCTCATACTTCTTAACAGCTATATGGGACACCATGATTTATTTAACTAGTTGCCCGCTGGTTGACATTTAAACTGTTTTCAATCTTTCATACTTTAATAATGCTGCAGTGACATATGTTGAATGTCAATGTTTTCTGCACATGTGCAAATACATCCACAGGATAAATCCCTAGACATGAAATTGCTGGGTCCAAAGGACCACGTGCATTTGTGACTTGGATAGATATGGCCTCTTCACCATGAGACCATTTTGCCCTCTCGCTGCTAGTGCACATGGAAGCAGAGCAGGCTTTTGAACGGGTCTTGGCTCTCTCCCCAGGCTGTACCAGTCGGTCAAGCTGCTGTACTCCATCGGCATCTTCTTCACCTATGCCCTCCAGTTCTATGTCCCGGCTGAGATCATCATCCCCTTCTTTGTGTCCCGTGTGCCCGAGCACTGGCAGCTGGTCGTAGACCTGTTCGTGCGCACCATGCTGGTCTGTGTGACATGTGAGTAGAAGACAAGATACTTGCTTTGTTTGCTTTCCCAAAGGGCACCCAGTCCCCAGGGCTTTCTTGAGTGAGACACTGCTGGAGTGAAAACAGTTGTAGTGTGTGAGCAGGAAACTTGGCCTGCTGTCTCAGGTGCAGAGTTGAGGCCTGGCTAGGTGGTGAAGTGAATTGATTATATATGTGCTCTAAAGGACGTGGGAATGAGAACAGTAGTTTATTTGTAGATACGGCATAAAATACTACGGTGATGGTCATAATTCATAGCAAAGATATAAAATTACGATCCCACGTCCTTGCGATAGAGTAAGGTAAAAGTGTATAGAAAGCGATTTAACTCATGCATATGAGTGTAGGTTACTTTGATAGCAGGTGCATGTTTATTGGTGTATTCAAATAATCATTTCCCAGTGTGACAGTCTATTCCTTTAGATTTCATTTTGAGCCTCCATGATACTATACTAGACATTTACTAAATGTGTTTCTTAGAAAATCTGTATGGATTAACCTAGGTGTTTGATTTTTTACTTTGTGTTTTATTCCTCCTCCCTGACCACACACCCAGGAGTGTGAGTTAAGAGATAAGATGTTACTCTATTTGCTGTTGGTTGAAACCAGTATACATTTTAAAATAAAAATAAATTTTTTTTCTCTTTCTTTTTTTTCTCTCTCTTTCTTTTTTTTCTCTTTCTGTGAGTTGATAGCATAGAGAACCCCTGAATAAATTGATCTATAATATCCAATTTAAATTTGCAATTTCTTTTCAGATTGAAGTGCTGGAATCTAGATTTCACTTTTTGGCTCTGTTTGGCTTTTTATTTTATTTTTAAAAATTGTATTGTTTTGGGAAAAGAAATGTCTTGGTTTATTATATTGAGACTTCTCTGGGAACTTCTTAAATTATCCAGTCCAAGCCTCTATCTTTGGAATAAAGATAGGTCTCTGTGGTTTTTAAACTGAAGCAGAATGGAGTGTTTTAGGGATAAATGATGTGAAAGTTGTCTAGCATTTGATCATAGTCTGGAAAATCAGAAATAACTTTATGGGTTGACTGATAGCAAGAGGAGGGCAGTAGAGGTTAGACATGGGGAGTAAACTAGTGCCTATCCCAGAATAAACCTCTTCAAGGGAACAGATGAGTGCCCATCCAAGAATGGACTTCTTCCAGGGGATGGACTAATACCTATCCCAGATGGGCCTCCTCAAGGGAACACACTAGTGCCTGTCCCAGATGGGCCTCCTCAAGGGAACAGCTTAGTGCCTATCCTCGAGTGGACTTCTTCAAGGGACAGCCTAGTGCCTATCCCAGAAACGACCTCCTCAGGGAATAGACTAGTGCCTATCCTAAAAAGGCCTTCTTTAGTGCCTATTCCAGAATGGACCTCCTTGAGGGAACAGCTTTGTGCCTATCCCAGAATGAACCTCCTTCGGGGAACAAACGAGTGCCTGTCATAGAAGGACCTGCTCAGGGGAAGCAATAGTGCCTATCTCAGAATGGTCTTCTCAGTAGAACTGATATTGCTTATCCCAGAACGGACTTCCTCAAGGGAACAGACTAGTACCTCACCTAGAATGGTCCTTCTCCAGAAAATAGCTTAGTGCCTATTCCAGAATGGACCTCCTCAGGTAATAACCTAGTGCCTATCTCAGAATGGACCTCTTCAAGAGGACAGACTGGTGGCTATACCAGATAGGATCTCCTCAAGGAACAGACTGGTGCCTATCCCAAAATAAACTTCCTCAAGGAAACGGACTAATGCCTCTCCTGGAACAGATTTCTTCAAGCCACCTGCAGTTCTTTTTCTCATTGTACTTCAGGGATGTGGGTGAAGCGTAGTGTCTTGGATCTTTGTATGGAAGGAACTCCTTAGAGCAAAGGAACTTAATGCCTTCCCCAGGACCTTCTTTTTTTTTTTTTAAAGATTTTATTTATTTATTTGAGAGAGAGAGAATGAGAGACAGAGAGCACGAGAGGGAAGAGGGTCAGAGGGAGAAGCAGACTCCCCGCCGAGCAGGGAGCCCGACGCGGGACTCGATCCCGGGACTCCAGGATCATGACCTGAGCCGAAGGCAGTCGCTTAACCAACTGAGCCACCCAGGCGCCCTCCCCAGGACCTTCTGATTTAATGTTGGGCAGCATTCTTTCTAAGGATTTATTACAGGATGGGGCTGGGTAGGAGCCAGGCAGAGGGTGGACTGCTTGGTTTTGCCAACTCCAGCAAGTTGATGGCAACCAAGAATCTCACTTGTCCTTGTATGTAGCCTCTGTTTGCAGACCTTCTGGCCCTGTCTAGGCCAGCCTATAGGAAAAGCCCACTCAGCAGCTAATCCAGTGCCCGGAGCTACCCATAGGCCACTGTTGCCCCAGAGCAACTGAAAAGGAAAGAATGTGATGTATCTTGCTTTTCCATTAATTTGCCTTAATATGTGCTAAGGTACTCTGGATTTTGCTTCTGTCTTCTGCCTGCAACTCCCGACGCTTTGACTCAGATATATATGTTTCTCTGTGGATGGATTTCCAAGTGTTGAAGAGACAGCTTTCATGTGTACAGTGTTTATGATGACAACTTTCAGTATTCCCATTCTGGAATCCAAAGGGCGCTGGAAGAAAGGGTGGGGGTAGTTCATTCAGATAATTGGCTTTTTTCAAAGTGGTTCCTCTAGAAAAGGTAAGTCTGTCTAGGTAAAATGTGCTCTAACTGCCTAGACACCAACTTATTCCTGCTCGAAGAGCTGGGGCAGTGACGCTGGGCCTGATTCCTCTCCTGGCCCCATTTTCTTCTCAAGCCTGGCTTAGCCTCCAGTAGCATATGTCTTGCTTCCTGCCAGGTTTCTTTCCACTGCGCCCCACAGGAGCCAGCAGTCTCTGATTCACAGACCTCGTGCTATCCTTAGATGTCTCTTGGTTTTTGCTTTGCTTTTCCTGACTCTGTCTGGGGGTTTCATCTCCCTTAAAGAGTATGATGCTCAGAGGTTACAAGCTGGTTTTGATCTTCAAGCTCACTCAGTTATTTTCCCCTTCTGTGATCTGTTGTGACTTAGCATTGCACGGTCAGCCTATTAAATGATGCGGCCTCTTCATCTCTGAGCACTCGGGTTTCTCTTACCTTCCCTGGAGACTTTGAAGTGATTGTGGGATTGAGGAGAGGCATTTCACTGTAGCACCAACTTAAATGTATTGATGTGAGTTTATTTTGTTTTTGTTTTTTTCTGTACTTTCAGATCTTTTCTGCATAAGGTTAATTGGTATATGATTTTAGAACTTTGCTAGAACTGATTATTTTCAATTATACCTATAATTTTAATAGCAGCTTGTTTTATTGCTATTTATGGTGTTTTCTTGTGCTTTTTCCCAACTTTTCCTCCTCTTCCTCACCCTCCACCCCCCAAGGGGAGCAGGGGAATTTGGTCCAGACTCTTTTTTTTTTTTTTTTCCATTTGTAATTACCTTTCTTACCACTCTCTTTACGGGAACAAACCCACAGACTGCTGTGTCTACTTTTTGGTGCTTAATTCAGACTGTTGGAGAGGAGGGGAAAGGGGAATACATGTGTCAGGGAATGGTGCTCATTTTGTTGTGATTGCATATGGAATGGTATTTATTTCCGGCCCATATGTTTGAATTGCACTTAGCAGGTCACCTGTGTGCAGAGTTTGTGTAGGAGAGGCTGGAAGAGGCTGGCTCCAGAGGGAGTTCAGAGGTATAGGAAGAGTCGTTTCTTTGGGTTCCATGAGGCATTAACCTGTCCTTCAGGGATTTGTGCTAATTCTCTGTGGCATTTGCCACATGAAACATCTTAACTTCAGTGAAGTATGAACATTTCAAAAACCTGTTGTTGAAGATGAATAACGTAAAACTGTATCAATTAAAAGGCCTGTTTGGACTGGAATGCATAGTTGTAGAACATTCCAAACAGCCAGACCCAATCGAGTATGAAGCTTCCAGGTCCAAACAGAGTGACTTCTTGGCACCTTTTGGCCTCTCACACTTCTCCATCCTGCAGCTGCAGAGACAGAGGGCAGCAGTGTTAATGAACTGTGCACCATGGGCCCCTGTGAACCCTCCCGAGAGAGGCCTCAGGTTCCTCAGCTGTAAGACGTGCAGGGTATCTGATTGCTAAGGCTTCTCTCAAGTCTAAACTGTGATTCTGCACAACTGCTTCAAGCCTGATTTTAAATTTCTACCAAAATATTGCTCAAAAAAAAAAAAAAAAGCTAATGTAAAAACATTTCAAGAATGTCTAGATCTGGGGTTATTGAAGAAGAAATTCTGAATATCCCACTGACTTAACAAAATGATTTTTTTTTTTGCATTTTATCTTCTGTGTTACTCCTCATGGCTGCATGTTGCATAGTATACACAGAACTTTGTCTTTTGCTTTTTATTTGATATTATATCATGACTATGCATATCCTTCATAAATATTTTCACAGCCACATGATATTCCATTATATTGGCGTATTGTATTTACTAAGCTACTCCTTTACTGTTGGACATGTAGGTTGTTTTCCTTGCTTTTGTACTTTTTAATTTATACTCCCACTAAATGAGATTATATATTGTGTTCAAGACTATTGTTCATTTTCAAGGTAGATTTCTAGACATTTTAGAGTAACATAGGTAGGCTTCACCAGCATCAATCACAGTGAAACAGCAGAAAGAGCTTCTGGACACAGGGCTGTAGGTGTCCAACATATTTCTCTGTGTGTGTGTTTGTTCTCTTAAGTGCTTTCTCTTCTCTAGTGCACAGGTCAGCTTTTCTGTTGCTGGTCTAAAACCACAGGCTCCAGAATCCCAATCAGTTCCTTCTCTAAACATGGTCATTTGCCTTGTGTTGCTTCAGCAGTTAAAAGATCATATTTTTAGTGTCTCTTAACCCAAAGGGAAGATGTTTTGTAATACTAGTGGGGCCCTCTTGACTAATCACATGGGCTAGCTGAGTTATCCTCAGTCCTCCATTGCTGTACATGCCACAGCCAGGCTGCTACAGAGGGCGATGACTTGCCAGTTAGGAGTGTGCTGTCTTCCTCTTTGTATGGGGTGTTCATGTGAGGGAGCGGGGAGAGAGTAGGGGCAGGATATTCCTGGTTGGCTGCTTCCTGAGGTCTCTACCTTCTTTCTCTTTCTAGAGGGCTTTAACTCAGAGTAAAGACATTTAATGCTAGAAGAGGTTTTGGTTGCTCCCATATCTTTCTTAAGTACCTGATTCAAGTACCTGATTCTCTCTTTGGAATTAGCTAAAACTAGTTTGCCACATTTTGCATGGTGGCAAAACAGGTACCCCTGCTGTTTGAGCCCTTGGGGCTATTTGTGCTAATTTGGTTGGGTCCTCTTGTCTTCCTCTTTCCCCAGCATATTAGTGGGAGGCTCACAATTCTTGCCTTCTCCCCACCCCTCCCCATTATCTTTCTCCAGTGTCAGGCTTTATTTGGGGTTCAGCTGTGGTGTCTGGTCCAGCTAGGACAGGAAGGAGGGCCTTTGCAGCCCTGTGATCCTGGCTTTAAGAGAAAAGTTTAGCCACTTCTAAAAGATACTTTTGTTAAGCAAGCTTATCTTGTATGTCCTTTATAGTAAAAACAAGGACAAGTTTTTAGATTGCTTCTAAAATGTCATGATGAAGTGGAACATCTCTGTCTAATCTGAGAAAAGATTCTGATCATACAAGTTTCTGTTGCTGTTTCCACTTAATTCTTACCATAGAGTTGAGCACATCTGACCTCACTTAAGTCGTATCATGAAGTACCATATGTCCTCCAGGTTAATGGGAGGGAGAGGGGGGGATGGCAGACTCAGAGCCGGGAGGGCCTGGGCAGGTCATCTGACTTCTCTCCTCCTCAGGCTCATTGTCTCTGATAAAGGTCTCCCTTCTCTTGAGTGGGCTGGAGCATTCATGGAGACCAGGGGCTGGCACCAGAAGACTAACTCACCCTCCCTTTAATGGCACAAAACCAGGCAGGCTGGAGGCTATGTTTTTGGCACAACCATGTGTCCTCAGAGAGGAATCCCATTGCTCTGCTGTGCCACCATTGAGCAGTACGTGGTGCTTCCCAGTTGACAGCGAGCTGAGGGACATATCCCAGAACATATTCCTAAGTGACTAAACCTACACTGTGTAGCTCCTTAACATTTCAGAGCTGTGTGAGACTTCAGTGACCATCCAGTGTTAGTACAGTCACCTGACCTCATGGGTGACCAAGCTGAGGCTCCGAATGGTGAGCTCATTTGTGCTAGGACTGGTGGTTGCATTAGCTCACATTTATGAAGCATTCATTGTGCACTTAGTGCTCTAAGTTCTTTAGGTGAATGATCTCATGTGACCATCCCTGTTCAGCAGTAGGTTAAATAGCTGGCTGGTTAGTGGTGGAGCTGAGATTAGAGCCCAGGTTCTGAGTCCAGAGCCCACACTCTTAACCACCTTCCTGTACCAGCTTCTCCTAGGGCTCAGTTCTGATTGCTGCCTCGGTGCTATTGCCACCTCACTACTCACTTGAATTGGAACCATGGGAGCCATCACTATGATGTTGACAGTAGGCAGATGCAGACCCAGACCCCAGAGAGGGCAGGTGTCCTCTTCCAGGTCACACAGCAGATCAACTCTTGTTGAGCATTCGGTTGCCCATGATGAGAAAGCCATCATTTTGTCATCAGCTTTCTGTATTTTTAACTTTCCTCCAAATTCAACCCTGAAGATCTGAGGGAGATCACCAACTCTATTTAGAAAGAGCTAACGGCTGAAGCAGACTATTTTTAACTTGGAGGGCAAGTTAAGAGCCTATACTTTCTGTGGACTTTCTGAAGGCTTCAGAACACTGAAGGTATTAATGGATACTTGCCATTATGGTTGGACACTAGAATAAGGAGAGGAAAGCATTGCCCCCGGGGCTGTAAAACCGTGGCAGAGGCAGATCTGAGACTCAATATCTTTGTATTCCCTTTTGTCATCAGGCTTCAAAACCCTTGCCTTACTTCCTTTGCAGAGCAGAGAGAGGTCAGGGCTGATTGTATACCAATTCTCTGCTAAACGATTGCAGTGTATCCCTGTGAGTGTTAACCCACCATCTGACTCCTCCCATTCTTCACAGACAGGCTCTTTCTGCTGATCAGCCAGCTCCCCTCTTCTCCCTCCTACGGGTATCATTCTGCATTTTCTTAATCGTCAGCTCTATGATGTGACTGTACCAGGGGCTTGAGGTCTTGGATTCTAGTCTCAGGTCTGTCACTTTCTATCATTTAACCCCTCTGGGGACAATAATAATGTTGTAAAGTTATATATCCATGGACCCGAGGCAGATTCAGCCAGTGAGGGGCTGCCTCACAGTGCCATCTACCAGACACTAGATGTCCTGCTGTGATAGAAGTGCTCTGGGTCTGTGCTGTCCAGGATGGTAGCCGTTAGGCATAGGTAGCTGTTAAATCCTTGAAAGGCGGCCAGTGTGAATGAGGAACTGAATTCATTTTAGTTGACATAGCTTCAGAATAAATGTGAGACAGGCGATGAATCTGTCCCTCCCCTGGTAAGTCTTGGACCCACATGCCTCTCCTCTTACTGCAGGGAGTGCTATTCCAGTTTAAAAGCAAGTGCTTCTCATAAAACCTGGCTTCGACTAACATAACATAATAAAATAAAATTAAAAAATTTTTTTTATTTTTAAAGTTAAAAACAACAACAACAACAAAACCTGGCTTCTAAATGCAACCCAGTCCTTTTATCTGTAGCTCAGCCAAAGAAGCAGTGATCAATGCAGACAGTCCATCAGAGGAGTAAAATTGACCTGAGGGAAGATTGGCACCATTGGACTCAGGTGTTCTGGCAGTCTCACCACTGTGGTGCCTTCCTCAGAACGACTTGGCTACATTGCTTTATGAAATGGAGTTGGAATGGAAGCCCCCATATAAGACATAACTGATGGGAATCAGTGAGGTCAGGGTTGTGCTCTGGATCCCAGTCTCAATGCTGAGGACCTCCAATTGGAGGCTGTGGGGAAGACAATTCGTCAAAATACATTTGATTACTAATGAGTTAATGATGCACATTTCGTGGGTGGCAATATATATACTAGCAATGATTATATGAACTGTATTAGGAGCCTGTTGTATGCCAGACCTTGTGGTAAGTGCCTGTGTCAGCTCATTTCATCATCATGATCTCTCTGTGACTCAGGAGTCATTTGTATCCTCATTTTGCCAACAAGAAAACCAGGGAATAAAAGGGAGGTGTAACTTCCCCCAGAGTCACCCAGGCAGAGCCAGGATTCGGAGACAAGAGCCTAATTCCAGAGCCCATAATCCTCCATCAACTTGTGAAACATTGGCCTTCATTCCGCACCCCCAGTGGAAGGCTGAGTCCGATGGGCATGGTGGGACCAGTGGGCATTGGAGTAAGTGCAGTCAGTGGAGCCTCCTCCCGGTAGTTGGACAGCGGGGCACTTGGGGCTGGGGTGTGGAAGCTGACGGGATTTCCTAATGCAGCCCGCCATTCTGTGTCACTTCCATGTCCCTCTCATATGCCCGGGCCTACATTTCAGGTGTGGGAGCCGCTCGCTTGTCCTGGCACAGGCATGTAGTCATTGTGTGGGGCCTGGCTCCTCAGGTCAGCCTGCACCCTGAACTGCTTCTACTTGCCCTGTAGGAAAATGCTCTGTGAAATGGGGTTTATCCATGATATTGTTCCAGAAGGACGGCTTTTCCCCCGTTTTGTTCCTTGTCAGTTAAGTAGAGATGTTTGTGACGGAGGTACCCTCAGTGGTACGAAAATGACCAGTCGCTCAGAAATGGTCCACTTCCCTTTCTGCTCCAGCCTCTCTCCCCTGGTAGGGACCAGATTGCCCTGGAATGTAATTTTGTTCATTTGCTTCAGAAAGATGGAAGTCATGTCCTGTAGCAGAAAAAGCTGAAAGCCAGGAGATCTGGGTTCCAGTCCCAGTTCTGCCAACCTTGCAGTGAGACCAGGTTGTTCCACACCTGTGGGCATTTGTTTTCTCATCTGTGGAATGAGAGATTGGACTGGATAATGTCTGAGTTCCTGCAGAGCTCTCCATTCAAGATGAAGGATGCTTTAGCTAAATTTGTTCAACAGTGAGGAGGTCTCTTCCAGCTCTGGGCAGTCTTGAACAGACATGTCCTCTCTCCTGCAGGCATCTTGGCCATCCTCATTCCCCGCCTGGACCTGGTCATCTCCCTGGTGGGGTCCGTGAGCAGCAGTGCCCTGGCCCTCATCATCCCGCCCCTCCTGGAGATCACCACCTACTACTCGGAGGGCATGAGCCCCCTCACCATCGCCAAGGACGCCCTGATCAGCATCCTGGGCTTCGTGGGCTTTGTGGTGGGGACGTATGAGGCCCTCTACGAACTGATCCAGCCAAGCAGTGCTCCCATCTTCATCAACTCCCCCAGTGCCTTTGTATAGCGATCTGGGTGCATTCCCTGCAGCTGCCCACCCCACCCCTCTGTGTTCCCCAGCACCTGGCCCCAGAGCCTCAGGTAGGGTTCAGGCTCTGGGGAGAGGCAGGATTGCTGTCGGGGAACCCCTCTACCTGATACCTCGGTACCCTGGACCAGGTGGGGCTGAGGGCAGGGGGAAGAGTGGGTAGCAGATATGCAGAGGTCCCTCTTAGTGGCTGTGCCATCCCTGTTCATTTGTACTTAATTTAACCCAGAACTTTTCAACTTTTTTCCCTCATCATGTCTCCCTTACCTGCTCCCCTCCTTCTGACCCACCTTACCCAAATTATTCCTGTTGCACAGCTCACTTTATTTAAAAATCTTAGCATCCCCCACCTCATGTTTTCTCCTTTCCAGGCCCAGGCCTGGATTAAATGAGTAGGAACCCCCTCTCCTTATAAGGCTGGACCTATCTCTTTCTCAGACCTCTCCCAAATATTGTACCTCAGTATCCTCCTACCTATTCAAGTCTCCAGGAGATGTCTGGACCTACCTAGTAGTTTAAAACCAGCCCCCAAAGCTGGAGCTTTTAATCTTTATTCTCTCTGGCTTGTGACCCTCGGCAACAGCTTTTCTGAATTCCTCGCGTGGGTCACAATGTTGTATTCTTAGTTGCTTTAGCTTCTGAAAGATATCAAGTGCTGCCTAAATTGAAAATATATATATTTTATTTAAAATTAGCTTTTGTTTTTAGACTCTGTCTCTAGATCTGGGGTTATTGTGAATTGTTCCTTCCTCAGTAAACTTCTACTAGGCTTCTCCTGCTGAAAAGAAACTTGCTCCAGGAAATGTGTGCTTAGGTCCTCAGCATTCTTGGCTGAGTACCCCAAAGGTTTTAATCAGGATCACCTAAATGTGTACCTCTGTGGGGAGGCGTGCACTTTACCTCCCACTGACCAGCCTGATTTCATATTGAGAAGATATGAAGGACTCAGGATATGTTTGCCAGTGCACAAGGCCGAGGAGAAGATGGCCGAGTGGGACATGCTTCTATCCATGGGGGGCTTATAAAATGGGTCACTTTGTGCATTCAGGCCTGTTTTGCAGCCTCAGCCCCTGATAGGCACAGGGCACAGTAGCATTCAGTTGCCAGCATGTCGGGAAGACACCCACACTTTGCCGTGGGTGGGAAGATGAGGCCAGTGTGCACAGAGAGTGTGTTCATAGAATTAAGAAGCAGCTGGTCTGACACTATGTGTGGTGCTTGGTTGTTTACAATCAACGAGGCCAGGGCAGCAGCAGTGCCTTGCCCCGAGCTGCCTCCACGACCTAGACTTCTAAAGGGAACCACTTGGTGGGGACTTCGGTCCCCTGTGTTCTAAACACTAATTGTGACCCCGTCCCTCCCCTGCATGCCTCCCTGAGTGCATGGGGTGCTCACCTCAAGGTCAGCCTTCAGATTTGGGAACAAACTGCAGCGAAAGCAGAGAAAGGTGCATTGCCTTGGTTTTGGCTGCCTCTTCTCCCCTCTTGGTGTGAGAACTATTTCAGGAGGGCATTCACTAGCTCTCCATCTCCTGAGCTCTGTGTGTGTGTGTGTGTGTGTGTGTTCATGCACATGGAATAGGGGCGTGCTGTCCTCCTCTCCTGTCCCCAAGCTCTTCCTTCCTGAGAGATGCAGTTCACCCTGCAAATTAGAGAGCCGCACAACTTCATCAGGGGTCTTGTTCTTCGGTGTTTCACCAAAGCTTGTAACCTACCACACACACACAGCCCAGCCCTATCTTTTTCTTTCTCTTCTTTTCCAAAACCACATTCTCATTGCAGTGACTCCCAACCTACTCATAATTTATTAAGTTAGAGAGATATGATCAGTTGTGACTAGGTCTCCCTCAGAAGCATGATACTTTTCACCCACCCTTTCTGCGGTTACCAGCAGGTGCTTATATGACCAAGGCTCTAACTGGAGGTGGCAGTGGCCCTGCCCTGTGAAGCCTCAGGCCTAGAAGTTACCAAAGTGGGTTCAAGGATTGTCCTCTTCTCTGTGCAAGCCCCAGGCTCCAGCTGTCTTTCCACAGCAGTCCTGAGAGTTGTTTACAGTGAGAAGGCATGCGCCAGGAGAAGGATCAGATGTGTGTCCAGCTTCTGTGACTTGGGGAGCTGCTAGAGGCTGTCCTGTCCAGGTGGGTTGTAAGACTGGAGCTGAGGACTGGGCAGTACAAAACTGTGCATTTTGCAAAATGCAAATTATTGATACAGGGTCCCTGGCCCGGAAAATGTGGTGTGTAGGAGAGATGGCACTAGCTTTGGGGCTTCTGGAAGCTAATTTGGCATGGACCTCTCCCTGTTTGTTCTTTTTCTTGTGCTCCTGCTGCTTCAGAAGACCTAGGCAGGGTGGATCCTGTTGGTGGGCCTTTCTGGTTGTGCACTTGGTTCAAGTAAAGGGCCAGCCAGAAGATGGAAGTAAGAGGAAGCCCTTTCTCTTCTCCTGGAAGCAGCCCTCTGGGCCAGCTCAGGGAAGCTTACTCTTCTGCCCACGAGGCTTCTTCGGTCAGGGAGTCCGCCCTGGTTTCTTCCCAGGGCTCTTTAGGAGCCAGCTGCCTGGGTTCTCCCCGTGCCCCCGCCCTGGTGCCTGGTAGGAAGGCCCAGCACAAGCAGAAGTCTAGTCAAGGAGCAACAGAGCGAGGCGCTCTGCCGTGGGAGGCTGCATCTGCGGGGCCACAGGCAAAACGTGCAGCTTTCTGGCCCACTACTGTCAGGCGCTGTGTCCCTCCCCCTGGCTCTCCAGTGCAGCCTCAGACTTCCATGAGCTCTGAGGTAGCTTCTCCGAGCCCCTTATCCCCTCCTCCCCTCCTGTAAATGCTGCTGTCGGGAGGTGTCCACCTCTCTGCTGGCAGTGTACCTCCCCTTACATGCAGGTATTTGCTGGGGAGAGCATGATCTGGCGTTTTCTGTTTAATTTTCCTAGAAGTTGTCACCATTCACAAGTGTCATTATTTATACTGTGCTGCTCTCCGGCTGCCAGGAGCCCTTCAGCTGTACAAACCCTGGCCAGATGTATGTGAATGTGTGGCGGCTCTTAGCTCAGAACCTGCAGCTCACGCCCTCCCTCTCTGTCACTCACCTCTCCAGCCAAATTCATTGGCTGGTGCTCACTACTTACTCCACCCCCATGAAAGGTACAATTTGCCATTTTTTTTCATTTGTCTTAAAGCGATGATCCCAGGAAGGAACCTTAGGAAATCTGTCCCTCTTCCCTGTTCTCCTAGCTTACTTTTTTCTTCTCAGATATCTCCCTTCCTAAATTATAGAATATCATCTCTGTTTAACACTACATATTCACCTCGTGTTTTTTGGAAGTGCAAAATCTCACTTTATGTCTGTTTACAGCTCTCTCTATTCACTCATTACTCACAGCCAACGGGTCCATATCAGTGGGTTTTATTTCATAGCTGATCGGATGTTAAGGCGGGCCCCAGCATCAGCCCTGATCGGAACGCGAAGCTACTTCCTGACAGCAGAGACACAAAGTGTCAGTGGCATGACATGATTAGGGAGTCGGCTCCAAGTCTGCCTTAGAATTAAATTTTCCAAAGTACATTACAAATCTCCAAGACCATTAGGGGAAAAGGAGAGGGTGTGGTTTGTCTTTGAAAATCATGGTCAACACTTTTAGACAATTTAATTAGTCCTGCTGTTTGCAATGCTATTTGCTCTGACAGCATCAGCTTGTGATATTTCTTCCCTGTTCTTTGTACCACTGGGCCAGTCTCAGGCCAGGGGATATAAGTGGTGCTGATATGTGGTTACCAGAGTGGGGAGTGGGGGATGAGGGCAGAGGGTGCCTGTTTTAAGCCGTGTTCTTTTGTTTAAATCAAGGTGATGCTGGGGAAGCTGTTTTGTTTTAGTGAAGAATAAATTATGTAACTCTCTTGTAAACCATGTCAATGAGTGTGTGAATAAGATGAATATGAGAAACTACCATCCCCAGGTCTTGGTAGCCAGACAGTACCGCATATATTGTCCTGTGTATGTGCCTACGTGGATGTCTATTTCTCACATGGTATGTGTAGAGATGTAGACCATGCAGGAGCTCACAGAAGAATTTGTTTTGGGTTCTGCCAATGGATCATGTGTTAAACTTTTCTTTTATCAATAAATGAGTTTTATTTTTTATTTTTGAGAGGTTTCAGTCTGCATCTTTGTTTTCGCCTTTTTTTCTTTTTAAACATCATACTAGATCTTACTAGGTCAAAATGTTTGTAGTTTATGTCACAGAGCTCATCCGGGGGAGTAGTGCAAACAGTAGAACCACCTATGGAATTGAGAGTTCCCAAGAAAGGGTCCGGGTAGTTGTTTTTTTGTTAGACAATCCTGCTTTTCTTGAAAACTTGAGTAGGAACTCTCAACCCTGTCTGTGTATATCAGATGACCGTAGTTGACAGGGATGATGGTTAGTTTCATGTGTTAACATGGCTGGGCTATAATGTTGAATAACCTAGTTATTCAATCAAACACTAATCTAAGTGTTGCTCTGAAGTTATTTTGTAGATGTGATTGATGTCTACGGTCAGTTGCCTTTAAGTAAAAGTTTATCCTCAAAATGTGGGTGGGCCTCATTCCAATCAGTTGAAGGGCCTTAAGAGGAGAACTGGAAGAAGAAATTCTGCCTCAAGACAGCAGCATCAGCTCCTGTACAAGAGTTGCCAGCCTGGTAGCCTGCCCTATAAATCTTGGACTTGCCAGCCCTGACCATCACATAAGCCAATTCCTTGAAATCCCACCCCCT